ATCGTCGCACGTCGGCCATTCTGCGCCACTGATCTCTCGTTAAATGTACTATATACTGTTGTACCGTGGAGTCCTCCGCAGGATATAGTCAACGCAAAGTACAAATGACACAACACAATTATTACAACACTTTATTTACAAGTATGTACAATTTTTAGAGTCTCTACGAAAAGAAAGGCAACCGTCCTGAACATCTATCAGGGAGAGACCTACATTCGTTTCTTCATTTCATTCTAAAGACTCTCTTCCAATTAAACTTCAGTCTTTGGCGGCCATCTTAAGTACTTGACCATTAACCTTAACTACGATTTCCCCTTCCTTCCTTGACAAATTCTTTTACCTTCATTTCTCTTTTTGTAGTTTCTTTAATTTCAATTCTGAGTTATTTGGCATCAACCACATAGTAAAGACGGTTCTTGTGCCTTTGAGGGCGCCAGCTGTACGGTTCTCCTCTTCTACCAACATGGCGGTCCAGTACCATGGCACCCTGTTAGTTACAAAAATATAGATAGACCAATGCACAGGGACGTTTAAAAGTATTCAAGATTCCTTTGATCACTTGTAAACGAGCTAAGGTCCACCCCCACCTTGTTTTTACGAGGATGGTTGTAAGGGAGAACCCTGACAATTTACGCCAACACACGATTCACCGTTGCTTTATTATTGTGAAAAATGTCCGCAACTAAGTTTTAGTATGCACCAAACTCCGTCCCTTATCACATTGGTACCAAACCGTTTTTTTATTCATTTTCAAAACTACACTAAACTAAGGCCTACACTCTAGAGTCTAGACTAAATCCTGTCGTATTTACGATACTACAGTGTTGTATAAAATAGAATGGCCGACGTGCAGAGAACGAAGGCGATCGTTTACTCGGAGTCTGTAACGGAGAGATAGTTCAAACTCGACGAGACCTACTTCGCGAAGAGGAAACGGCGATCCGCGCGTGATCTCGTCCTCAACGTCCACTAACCGAACCCAACAGAGCAGCTATACTTAAATGGAGGTTAAGCGTTTTAAGCAAATCTAACGAAGCGATATAATAATTTATAAATTGACTGATTACTTATGCGAGAAAACAAGTGAATACCTACCGGTAATATAACACATACAGGTGCATGAACGAAGCGTTTTTTGGTTAAAGAAACATCGTTGTTTTCTTGCATGGTATACCAACGAAAGAGCGTGAACGCGAAAAAGCACATGGAACGCACGAGGCACACTCAACGCACGCTAGATTGTTTAAAATAATTCGTCCATCGCGTTGACGCGGCTCGCGCCTTCCGTTTTGTTCTTCGCGGTCGCAACGCTACCTCATTCGGTTCCAAGTTCGCGACACGAAAGGCGACCTACCTTGTGTTTCTTCCGATGCACGCCAGCTCGTTGAACAATCTCGAACGAACACGATAAAAAATAGCAACGATCAGCGCGTATGCTGTATCTGTCTCTAAGTCTAGTGTATCGAAGCGCGTCGATACGAAAAAAGAAAAAGAATAGGGCGTGTAAGTGAAGGTAGAAGAAAAATACTCATGTACGCTCGATGGCGAATCGATCGAGCCGTTTATCAAAGTGGAATTACCAAGTATTGCGAACAAGGTGTAACGACACACACATATATACACACACACACACATACGCGCGCGCGCGTTCCCTCGAGGGGAATGAAACCTTGAGGGTTTAGAAAAATAATTTCGTACTTTTTACACGGACGTACCTTAGCCGCGTTAAAACGCATTTCGTATAAAGTAGGGTACCGGACGCGTAGTACCTGGCAAATTGGGATTCGGAGATGGCGAGTAGAGGAGAAATGGCGCGAGTTCGTCGAGGATCACGTGGTGATGCTGCTTGGGATCTCAACCGTGCGAGAGAACGACACGAAGATAAAAATCAGGCGTATGCTTCGACATCATCGCGCCGTCGCGCGTCATTAATTAATTGTATTCGAAATGAAAGGGTGTGTAACGAACACTTCGGGGACTACGATGTAACAAGCAAAAAAAAAAAAAAAAAGAAAAATTCGAAGGATACCTTGTAAATAGTATAAATAGCGCAAGTGCAGAAGTACGTTTAAGCGGAAATAAAAGATGATATAATAGGTATAATGTGAAGAAAATATACATATAAGATATTATTATATATTATATATAAACAAGAAGTATATATATAAGATTATTATATATATTTACCGTGTTAAGTGATACGCAAAGCTGGTGATGGGGACTCGGTTAATCTCCTCAACGTTCCGATAATGTCACTGCGATCTACGGGTGGCCTATGCAACGGGTGCAATCTATTCACTGACGAATTAGCTTTCGACAGAAATTGCAACAAAAATTGACCATTCTCTTTTATATTCGTTTTCCAAGCAGCTCTTCCAGGACGTTTTCAAGCGTTCGCGGATTCCGTCGTAGTCTTTTGAAATTTCCTGATATTAGAATGGTCAATTGTTGGAAAGCAAAGGAAGAATTCGATAGCCTCGACAATGGTTGCGTTTCGTAACTCCTTACGGGACAGAAATTTTTTAACAGAGGTTTATACACCCAATAATGTTATTTTCTTATTTTATTCGCTGATCAATTATATTGTCCTCGATGAAGAGTTAATCGAACAGACTGGCGCGAACACGTACGATTAAGTTCCTATTACACGATGTCGAGCCGAGAATTATTTAACAATCCGGACAAAAAGAAAAAAGAATGCAACGACAACTCCGGAATGGGCCACTCTTGCGAACGCAACCCACCGTCCTCGTATACTTTTCTCATTTTTCTACGATTATTAATTACCATCGTTATCTCGTATTAATATTATTATTACGTTTTTCTAGGACGCCTACGGGTGACGCGCGAAAACGACGGTCTCTTTCTTTTCACGAACGAAAGAACGAGGCCGTGTAACGTCGCCCGGGATAGATAGAGAGGTTGTCCGAAAAACAAAACGAGGACGAATGACCGTTAGGCTAGATCGGAACGGTTCTCGAGACGAACGAGTCCCATTATCGTGACCGCGAACCTCTAGGACAGGATGAAATATGGAACACATATGAAACACTGTACATTGTAAATAGTTAGCGCGGAGAAGACGGTTACAGAAAGACAGCGAGAGAGAGAGAGAGAGAGAGAGAGAGAGAGTGAGTTAATTAAATAAAATTAAAACGAAAAAAAAACACAAACATACATACACACAGGCACACACGAGACGAGTAAGAAAAGAAAAGAAGATGAAATTGAGCGCGTGAGCGAATGTACCTTCTTGAGGGCTGCTCGATTTCGAGGCAAATTAACAAAGAAAACGGAAATCCGTATGTTTGTAATTTTTCCATTGTTAGACGAAACAAAATTACTTTGTTAGCCGAACAGTCTGATCGAATCAACCGTGACTGCCCGGAATCAGTGCGCCCTTATGGGGTACGTTCGCCATACGAGCCGCGTGCATGGCCATTTTAATAGAACTAGGAAAGATTTAAAGATGTACGGTTGTATCTTTGCACGTGTGCCGATCACTCGACTGTGATCCGTATTGTGTCCTTAAACCGCGTTTAAAATTAATATGAAAAAAGAGAAAGAAAAATGGGAAATCTTGTATAGTAGCAAATATAGAAAATATAAAAAAAATTAATCGGGTGTGCAAAGGACAGCGAGGAAAAATGAAAACATGATCGGTTTAACTGTAAGTTCGTGATTCGTCGCTTTGACAGACTAAAAATCAGCAGAATACAAAAACAACGCAAACATAATTTAAAAAAAAAAATAAAAAAAAAAAAGCGAGAGAGAGAGAAAAGCATGGAAAAAAGTATGAATCGCAATTACTCTAGTCCTAACTAAAGTGGTCCACGTCGGGCACGATACATACGTTACAGTTTTCGAGTGGTTGCACACGTTTTATATTTTCTTTCGTTCGTATCACAACTTTCGTTTGAAAGTTGTGACGTTGTAACGCGTATCGTTTTACCAAAATATCGAACAGCAAAATTAACAACAGCAACCGAAAGAAAGGAAACAGCAACAATGCAGCGGAAAAAAGAAGAAACCTAATGAAAAAGTAAGAGAATATCGCACGAATATGGACAACAACAACAACAACAACAACAACAACAACAAGAAAAACTATCAAAAACAATAAAGAGTATTATTCTATATATAACAATGGTGTTCTGATGTTTTACAATCCCTTTTTTGAAACCTTTTATTCTTGTATTATCAACAAATCATAGATTTTATATGAAAATATAAGAGCATGTATTTATTACATCTATTATTGATAACAAAAAACATTACATATTATTTTATATGTAATAAAAAGTACGGAAAGTAGAAAAATGATGCTGACAGTGTAGTGTAATATTTTCAATCTTTGTAATCTTTTTCTGGCAGCTGAAACCTGGTCTAACGGTTCGTTTAGTAAATTCCTTTTTATACCAAGAAAATAGTGCCTGCTACATCTATTCCAGTCCAGTCTTCCCAGGTCGAAAGAAAATTCTTTGTAATCAGTACTATTCATATAAATAAGAATATTTTGAGTGTTTTCCACTTCCACAATCCAGTTGAAATTAGTAAAATGATCTATGGTCGTGAAATATTTTGTAAACTTTACCACTAGTTTTAAACCCCTGAAAAAATAAATCAATTTTATAGAATTTTGAAATATCTGAAGTTTCTTCAATTTTTGAAGAATTTTAACATATTCGCTATTGGCATTCTCAGTTGAGATTACTTTTATTCTATTAAATAACGTAAAAAAAATTAATATAACCTCATATCGTATGCATCGATAGTATTTTATATTACATACATATATGATACTCGTGCACCGTTGGTAGCGAATGTGTTAAAATATACATATACTTGACAACAGACTCTCGTTACATGGCCGCGGACGGCGCTATAAGAGCGGAATATTTGTCAAGCTTCCTCCAAAACTATTATTTGGAGGAGGGTAGGTAAGATAGAAGCCAATCTTTCTTGTAGGTTCTGATACGGGCGTAAAGCGTATGGGTGGGTGTAGTCTCTAACCCACTCGGGTTAGCTTGCTTACGCCGACAAAGAGTCAAGTATTGGGTAAAATTTGAAAATAGTAAAAATTTCAAGTTCTAGAAAGCTAAAATTAGTATCCTTATCGACAGCAACCACACTAGAACCATTTTATCTCTACTTCGGCCATGTTTCTTTTACTTCTGGTAATCCTTGTAGAGGTGAAATCACTCAGGTGGCAATATAGCGAGAGTCTCCTGTATGTACACTCAACCCTTTCGCTACTTTGAGCGACTATAGTTATTTTGCGTGAAGTAAAATCACTTACATTTATATAGTAAATTCTTTTCCAATTTAAACTTTCTACTTACAAAATTGATATAATATTAATAGTAGTGAAAATTCCCTTTAGTTTCTTTCAGTTAATGGATTTGATTAATTTTGTAATGTCGATCATCGGTGCCTCTCGGCAGCCAAGATCGATGCGTTAATAAGCGAATGTATGGAAACGTTCTCTAGCAGTAACGAAAGAGTTAATTAAGAGTTGGAAGATTCAATTTTTTAAATAATTACTTGGCTCCCTTTCCCAAAAGCACGCAAAACAAATCATTGAATGCAGCGGGAATAACGTGAAGGAAGAAATGAAGCACGAAGAAAAGATATAAATTTTCAGTAAATACAGTAAATGGAAACCAAACTGTATTATTCAATGGATATTCCTCCATTATCTCGTTGTATAATTTTCTGTATCCTAACAGATGAACAGGTTTCCAGAAAGACGAACCATAATTGTATACTTGTGGTCCTTTCGATTGCCTAAACGAATCGATGGAATAAAAGTAGATTAATGAGAAATGTATTTCATTTTATATAGAAATTAACATTTATCAAAGAAATTTTGGTTATCAGGGCAAAATTGATGTGAAACATCTGCTTTTGCATCAGATCAACAAATTGCAATATACTCGATAGAGACAGTATAGTATTGAAACAGTATCGGATCAAGCGACCCCGCCATCCAGGGGGCCTCCATTTTAAGCTTTTCATTTCATATTATTTATTTGCATATCATTATTTTTCTTTATGAATAAATGTTATTCAATTCAACTCAGTTTCAAAATTTCAGATTCATGAAGGAAATTTATCAACCAAGGAAATCCTGAAAGATTTGATAATCCCGGACCTTAAAAATCTTAAGACGGTTCTGTATACGGCCCTAAATGGGTTCAATTAAACTGATATTTCAGTATAATAATATTCCATTCTTCTCTGTGGTATATTTAGAAACAGAAAGAAGCAGTTGGTTTTAGAATAATTAATCTAATTTGGTATCAATCCTATATCGTCTCTACCGACATGGTAACTTATAATAATATTCATGGTATTATTATATTTAAGTAGTTTATCAATAAATGCACCCTACTTGCGGACACACAAATCCCAGACGGATGCCAAAAGACCGTTAACCGCCAAGTCAACTGGAACGACATCCATGATACAATTTTCTAGGACGCGTGCAGCGTGTACTAAACCCATGCTCATTGCAATGAACATTAATGCAGGTCCATTTTGATTTCCAATCCATCCTGGTACTGGCTCCTCATACGATCCCACAACTATTTACAAAATTAAAATAAATAATTATACCTGAAATTTCCACCTTTAGTAGTACTTTAGTAGTACCTTCATGGGGTATAATTGTTGGACCAGTAAACCAAGATACAGTAAACTCTTGTCACATTGCTAGGTGAGCAATTTAACGGATTATGAAGGATTCTAGTGACGTTTTACTATCGTCGTATCCTACGAAGATAATACACTTCCATATTTTTTCCCCCTCCAAATGAAAGGTTAAAAATTTTTCGACCATAGAACGCTGCGCTCGGCAATACAACTCGAGTCTACTGTACCGCCTAAATGATTTACTGGACGCCATGTTTGACGTCTTTTCGTATTGAAATAAATGAAAATGTTTTAATAAAATTACCTATCGAAGGTCTAAAGATAGCGCACATAGCCGATGCGTGTGAGAAATTCTGAACGAGACTTTCGGCCATGGATTTGCTAAAAGTGTACACGTTAGGCCATTTTCCTATCATCTGACGCACTGCACTATCGCTCATTCCGTATTTAGCTTCTTCGTCAGATCGTATCATGTCCTCGATCATTTTCAGATCAGCCGGAGGTGGGTAAAATTTTTCTTCGATGTCTTTGGTGTAACAATTAGAGTACGCAGTCGAAACGTATAAGAACGCCTTCAAGTGAAAACATTCTGCCGCTAAGTCCAGCATGTATTTGGTACCAAAAACGTTTATCCTCAAGGTGGAGGCCACTGTTGCAGAAAAGGACACTTCTGCCGCGTTATGAATTATTATGTCGACGTTCTGTCTTAGATATTGGCGATCTTCTGGTGAAATGGCCAAGTCGTCTTTTATCAAATCAGTATAGATTGGCTCCACTTTTGACATGAAATTAGGATTTATTTTACGTAACGTGTCGAATGCCTGAAAACAGTATGAAAGTTAATGTTACAGTAATTAAGATCATTGGATATTAATCCTGAAATCCTGGCACACTCGATTGACATGTTTGAGGCTGGGACAATAGGTGCAGCTTAGGTAACGTAAGAAGTTGTAAATGAAATCATTAAAATCTGACACTTTTTCCCATACTTCGACTTACTCCTGTGTACTGTAAAAACAAGTTTTTACATACATAAGTACGTAATTAACATTCATTAACATATTCATCAGCGATTATATTTAATTTGTAACGATTATTAATTTGTGAAATTGATCTTTCTGTCTCTCTTCTCTCATCGCGGTACTGCTAAGGGACACTCGAAAATTTGATAGTCCTGGTGCCCCAAACATCTTAATTCGGTCCTGATAATATGTAATAAATGATATGATTTTTTATAAGAAAGCGTACTTGTACAGTATGTTTTTATGAAATTTAGATAGTTTAAGAAAAGTTGTTCAAGATGATCGTAAGAAATTTGAAGGGATGTAAGTAAGTAAATACTTACGGTATTTTCAAAGTAATTTTTCATTCGTTCCTTGATGCTCATATTTTTCTTAGGTCTAATTAGCACGTAAATCTTATCTATTTCCAAGCAAGTGCGTAGAAGTTTTTCTAAGATGCAGGTGCCAAAGAAACCGGTAGCCCCGCTCAGTAGAATTCTTTTTTCAGCATAGAATTGTCGTATTTGACCGTTGTTGTTGTTCTTCTCTTCTAGTTGCCATCGATCGCTCTTCACATTATTCATCGTAAAATTTATTTTATTACTTACAATTTCTTCACTTATAGATACCGATCGCTCGGAATGAAAGAAACTTTTGTATTTCCTTTAAATGTTAAAACGCCACACTTTGAAAATGTTATTCACTTTTCATTCTAAATAAATTTTCATAAATTGACCTTCATACGTTCCTATCGAATTTTCATGCTGTTACACAAACAGAAGCGACGATATCAATAACAGTATTTACACTGAAAAATTTCTTACGAATCATTTACCCTTTATATAGAGTCAAGATTACCTTGAATGCATATTAATTCCAAACATTTAATATGAATACCATGTTTGCTGATTTTAATTTGCTATGCTAAATCATCAATTGACGTATGCCCGTAATAGGTGGTAAACGCTGAATTACGTAAAACATAAATCAAAAAGTCTGATTTTTTATTGTATTTCTTTATTGATTCATTTGTATATGGAAATGAGTGCATGTTGCGTTCATGCAGAGTAAAATGTCTACTGTATCATTATAGTCATGAAGTTGTCTATTATTGTTCTTTTTTATAAACTAATAAGATTTCCCTTTTTTATACTTTTTCGACTTACAAAATACAATGAATTTCGGTTAACTGAGTGATACTGGGACCGGATTAATTTGTGAACGATTGTTAACGATTAAAATTAGGCAGGAAATATTTTTAAACGAATAATGTGAACTTTATAATAACATGAAAATTAAATGGATCGGTTCTTTGAAGATCAATACACATCATAACAACTTATCACTGGCGCAAGGGTGTTTCGAGCCACGCTTAATACGGATACAAAATGATGTAGCGGTTTTTTTTTTTTTTTTCAATCGTGTTACGTTGCAAAAATTGCTACAACTTCGTAACTAATCAATATTTATAGCGTTTTCTAAATTAATTCCGAGGTAAATATCTGAAAATCTCAATCAGACGTATGTGCGTCAATCGACGGCAATGTATTAATATTGTTGATAAGAAGAGTGTAATATCAGTATTTTTTTGTCATTCAACTTTTTATTTTATTTCACTTTGTGTATAAAAATGTACAAAAATTATTGAAATTGAGAACAAGGTATATCTATATTATAAGATTCCACTTGCTTTTGGACTTCCACATATTCTTCAATCATAGAATTATTCTGCTCGTGTAGCGTAACATGCTTCAAGATATCCTTTTTTCTTGTAAACGTTTCGTTACATTGTTCGCAATGCAGAGATTTCGATTGGTGTGTTTTGGTGTGTTTTAACATGTCATTCTTTTGTGAAAACGTTCTGCCACACGTGTCGCAGGAAAACGGTTTCTCACCGGTATGAACTCTTTCGTGCACGCTTAATGCACCCTTCCGAGTAAAACACTTGCTACAGTGTTTACATTTGTAAGGTTTTGCGCCAGAATGGATTTTCATGTGCTGATTAAGATTGCTGGAACATTTGTATTCCATATTGCACACTTTGCATACGTAAGGACGTTCTCCGGTGTGTATTCTTTCGTGTATAAGACGTGCTTCATTGGAAAGAAACGATCCTCCGCAATACTGACACATATGTGGTCTCTCCGTAGAATGCATAGACCTCTTGTGATAGATCAAAGAATATTTACTCGATAATTTCTTCCCACAAACATTGCATTCTATATTCATTTTCTCTTTTTTATGAGTACGCTCGTGATTTAATAAGGCTGTTCGTGTAGAAAATATCCGATTACAACTTTTACATTGCCATATAGTCTTATCAATACACTTTTTTCGTATACTATCTATAATGTCCTGTTCCGTGTGCTTTTTTCTATGTAACTTTAATTCGCTCATCGTTTTACATCTGTATGTACAAACCTACAACCGAGAAAAACTGATTTATACAAAGATTTCGATAATCATTCAGTTAAGTTTAATATGAATATGCTTACACTACACGTGTACATGCCATTTCCATTGTTATGACGTTTAAGATGTGTATTCATATTCCCTTTACGATTAAACGCTGTACCACATATTGGACAAACGTGTTTATTCAAACCATGAGACAAAGTATGTTGTCTTAATTGTATTCTTTTATAAAATGCTTTTCCACATTTGTCGCAAGGGTAAGGTTTATTTCCATTATGCTGATTCATGTGCTCGCCCAAATGAAATCTGAATTACAGGTGTGATATTGTATATTGTATAATGCGAAATTTGAAGGCGATTTATAATAAAACAATACTTATATATAACTTCTATGGTGCTACCTAGATCTGAATGCGTTTCCACAAATCTCACAAATGTGTCGTTTTTTTTTGGAGTCATCTAAATGAGTTCTCTTGTGACCCCTTAAATTGTTAGAATGTTTAAAACTTTTACCACATAAATCACATAGGTAAGGTTTATCTATTCTATGAGTAGCTTCGTGTACATCTAAACTTGACCATTTTTCATAACTCCTGTCACATATAATACACTTTAACAACAATCGACTTTTATGACATTGCGTAATATGACTCAGCAGTTCCTTTTTAGTATTAAAAATTCTGTCACAATGTCCACATTTTTTATTAGTTTCGATCAATGTAATATTAATAGTATCGCACGTATCTTTATCAGTACCATATTGTTCTTCATTTGCATTTGGTTTATTGGACAGTTTATATTGTTCTTCTTCAAAAAATGTACAATACGAAAGCTTATGTTCAATTAAACGTTTTTCATTCGCAAAATTCTTGTGGCATGTATTGCAACTTTCTTTTGAAATACATTCCAAGTTTATTTCTACATTATTAGAATCTCTACTATTTATATTACTATTAATCTCTTTTTCTTTTTTTACTGTAGTTTCTTTTACATAACAGAACATTTTATGATTTTCGAACATTTCTTGACTTTTAAACGAATTATTGCAGCGAATACATGAAATTTTATTAAAATTGATTACACCATTTTTCGGATAATGTTGCATGGTTTTATTTGTACATTCATCTTCTTTATTCCTTTTATTGTGCGATTCAATAAAGCTATTTAATTCAGATTGCATTTTGTCTTCTATGTTATTTATAGTGTGAATTTCTTCTAAATGATTTAATTTTCCAGTAATTTCTTGATTTACAGAACTATCTCCCATATTATTAGAAGACAATTCTATCAATGTTGTTTGTGTCTCTTCATTGGTACACATTTCTTCGGCAATCTCTAATGAACATTGTTGAACTATTTTGTTATACCTATTGTCATAATTTAACTGTAAAATAACATAAATACACTTTTAATATGATAGGTTCCTTTATAATGGTACGTGTATACGAAAGTACTCACTTCTTCGTTAATATTTAGAAATTTCTTCAATTTCATATCTGTTCGTAAAGAAGTTATAATAAGCGAATGTGCTATGTCCAATTTGTTGCAACAGTTCAAGCATAATTTTTGTGGCATTACATCTTTCACATCTATAGTTACTGGCAGATGTAAGTTAATTTTTTCTTTTAATTTTAATTCTATTCCTTTCGTTGCAAATATTTCTATGCCGTCCACAGATGGTTCTCCACATATTCGACATAAATTTGAAAATCTAATACTAATACCATGATACTGATCTACTTCAACATTCGTATCACAGTATGATAATACGGCACTGTCTGTTACTTCTGTTTCTTCATTCGTATAAAAAACATTTCTTGCATCCTTCTCTGTTACAAAATCTGATCCAAATAATGTAGGAACTGCACGCGCATCTATTATAACAGGATCTATTTTGCTTATATAATAATGATCTTCTATGTGATGAGAACATATATAATAATTTAAATGCAGTTCTTCGTTTGATTTTAATAAAAGGTCCGTTCTACCACAGTGTTGTGCCCATATCTTTGAGCTGCAAGAAAATAATTACAATTAATTTAAAGCATAAAAAATTAATCAATGATAAACTTCAAACAAGCATTATTATTTCTAAGTAAATAAAGTGTTTAAACAGTCTATATAAACTTACGTAGCATCATTTGGAAAATTAATAAACATGATTTGCCTCGAGTCTTCATTAATTGAAGAGTATTTACAATTCTTTGCGGCACAAACTATTCTCATTTTCAGATCAGTTTATTTCAAAAAGAACAAGATTGATATTAATTATCAATTTGAAATAGTGACTACAGAATGTACATACATACGGAGGATGCAACAAGACTATGTATAAACATTCCAAGTTATCTTTCCAACTAACTATTTGTTTCATTCTAGCATACGTTTGAGAAACCGCTCAGCCATGATGGTGCTCACGGTCGATCGATTTATCGACCGGGAGTCGTCCATCTAGGTGAACGCGTGAGCAGTGGTCTTCTTGCCGGCTCGCGCGCAACGACGCCATTATCGAGCATCGATTCATCAAGTCAATTCTATATTGTTTATTTTATTATTATTGTTTATTTATTCTATTATCATTCTGTTATTACTGTTAGCTTGTAAATTACTTTAATTTTCAATAGGAAGGAACTGTCCGGTTTCATGGAAATCACGGGCTGTTCCTAACATCATAAAGCACCTAATTTGCAGTCAATAGTTCCGCTACTTAGAAATATTCTGAACTAAACCGTGGCAACAATAAGTTTATGAAGCCATCGATCAGTTTAGTACTTTGCTATTATTACAGTTTTATTATTAATTTAATGAATAAATATAATTCAAATCATATCGTGTTTGCCATAGATTAAGTTACTTTTGGACCTACAGTTCATAATTAATTAATTTGTTTATGTACTGTTATCCTTCCTTTTAGCTGTAGTATAGTTTAACACGTTATAAATATTGTGGCTAAATTTCTGTCTATCTACAAGCGTTACATTTATTCTTGTCTTTCGTTTTCTGGTGTACGTTGTAATTATTTTTTTTAATTTTCCAGAAAATCGTGGTTCTTTCCCTGAGTACATGGTCCCAGGGCGACTGTCCGGCTATCACACATAGGGATTCTATAGATACCGTCCTATAAGATCGAAATATTCTTCTCAGGGTGATTTTTTGTGGACTCCTACTTTGTAACATTCATGGTATATTTTAGTGCCCTTTCTGTTGTAGTACCCCCCAACGAAATGCGTAGAAATGAAATGTAACCCTGAAATATTAGAAAAAAAAGGTGTAAATAAAATATTCCCCGAAAAGTGCGTTCAAAGCAAATCAAATCCGTTAGATTCGTAAAGAAGTGCGTAAAAATGAAATGTAACCTCCGAAAATAACAATAATTGATGTAATAAAAAGAATTGCGTATGAAAAAAAAAAATACGTAGTGCACAACACCGAGCATGCTAGGACACACACTTTAGCATGGTAGGATATAATTGTAACATGCTGGGATATAATTGTAAGATGCTAGGATATAATTTTCACATGCTAGGATATAATTGTAACATGCTAGGATATAATTTTCACATGCTGGGATATAATCCTATCTTGGTAGGAGGACATAGTCCTAACATGGTAGGACATTATCCTAACATGGTAGGACGTAACCGTAGAATGCAAGGATATAGCCGTAACATGGTAGGACGTAATCTTAACATGCTAGGACATAGCAGTAACATGGTGGGACATAGCCCTAACATGTTAGGACATAATCCTAGCATGGTAGGACGTAGCCCTGGAGAGCTGGGACATATGTAACCCTAGCATGCTGGGACATATGTACGCCTAGCATGGTAGGACACATATAGCCCTAGCATGCTGGGACACATATAGCCCTGGCATGCTGGGACAGATATACTCCTAGCATGCTGGGACATATGTTCGCCTAGCATGCTAGGACACATACCGTAACCCTAACCCCCTAACCCTAACCCCCTTCCCCTTAACCCTAACTCCCCTAACCGTAACCCTAACCCCTTCCCCTAACCCTAACCCCCTAACCGTAACCCCTTCCCCTAACTTCAACCCTAACTCTAGCATGCTATGTGTGTATGTGCCCTAGCATGTTAGGGTTAGGACACGTACCCTAACCCTAACCCCTTCGCCTAACCCTAACCCTAGCATGCTAGGTGTGTATGTGCCCTAGCATGTTAGGGTTAGGACACATACCCTAACTCTAACCCCTTCCCCTCAACCTAACCCCTTCGCCTAACCCACTAACCCTAACCCCTTCGCCTAACCCTGACCCTAGCATGCTAGGTGTGTGTGTGCCGTAGCATGTTAGGGTTAGGACACGTACCCTAACTCTAACCCCCCTACCCCTCACCCTAACCCTTGGCCTAACCCCCCTAACCCTATCCCCTTCCCCTCACCCTAACCCCTTCGCCTAACTCCCTAACCCTAACCCTAACCCCTAACCCTAACCCTAACCCTAACCCTAACCCTAACCCTAACCCTAATCCCCTTAACCGTAACCCCTAACCGTAACCCTAACCCTAACCCTACCCCCCCCCCCCCCTTAACCCTAACCCCTAACTGTAACCCTAACCCTAATCCTAACCCCCCCCCCCTTAACCCTAACCCTAACCCTAACCCCTAACCCTAACCCTAACCCTAACCCCAACCCTAACCCCCTTAACCCTAACCCTAACCCTAACCCCCTTAACCCTAACCCTAACCCTAACCCCCTTAACCCTAACCCCTAACCCTAACCCTAACTCCCTAACCCTAACCCTAACCCTAATCCCCTTAACCCTAACCCCTAACCGTAACCCTAACCCTAACCCTAACCCCCCCCCCCCTTAACCCTAACCCCTAACCTAACCTAACCTAACCCTAACACCTAACCCTAACCCTAACCCTAGCCCTAACCCCCTAACCCTAACCCCTTAACCCTAACCCCTAACCCTAACCCTAACCCTAACCCCCTTAACCCTAACCCCTAACCCTAACCCTAACCCTAACCCTAACCCTAACCCTAACCCCTTAACCCTAACCCTAACCCTAACCCTACCCCTAACCCTAACACCTAACCCTAACCCTAACCCTAGCCCTAACCCCCTAACCCTAACCCCTTAACCCTAACCCCTAACCCTAACCCTAACCCTAACCCCCTTAACCCTAACCCCTAACCCTAACCCTAACCCTAACCCTAACCCTAACCCCCTTAACCCTAACCCTAACCCTAACCCTACCCCTAACCCTAACACCTAACCCTAACCCTAACCCTAGCCCTAACCCCCTAACCCTAACCCCCTAACCCTAACCCCTAACCCTTTTTTTTTTTTGTTTTTTTTTTTTGTTTTGATAGAAGAGGAAAATGCTTTTACGCACGCGCAGGTTATCCCCTTGTCGCACTATTCGGCTAGAGGGGGCCCGGGCAGTGTGGGACTCATATCCCCTGAAGGGGGGCCTGGCTCCCGTTGGTGAGGGCAAACCCAAAGAGGCAACCCAGAAGGGGCAACCTGATAGCCCAACCCTAAAGGGTGGGCACAAATGATAACGGTCACAGCCCGGAAGGGGCGACCCTGCGGCGCCCAGAAGGGGCATCCGCGGCCTGATATACTACCCACTAAAAACCTCTCCCCTGACGTAGGCCGCCGGTACCCTTTCATCCGTTGAGGATATCCCAGTTGTACCGGCGATAGCCGCGACGGCGCTTTAGCTCCCAAGCTTTCATGTTCGCTTTCGTCTACCCTCAGTCCGCTATGCGCTAGGCACCACAGGGGATTGAGGAGCCACGCCGTAACACCTCCGATCAAGCGGTAGGATATTTTAACCTGCACGGTTTATGCGCAGGATTTTTCTTCGGCCACGACCAGGAACCGGAGCTCCTGCTCAACGGGTGATCGCGCCCCTACTTCACCTGCCTGCCATTAGCGAGGCCAGGAAACTTTCTCTTCGGCCACGATCAGGAACCGGAGGACTTTCCCACTCATCGGGTGATCGCGCCCCTACTTCACCTGCTTGCAATGCGAAGACAGGGCTTCTTTTTCGGCCACGACCAGGAACCGGAGCTAGCAACAGTGCAAGCGACCGGATCAATTACAGGATTAATTCATTGTACACGCGAGCCGCCAACCACGCGTCGATCACCCACATGTTCACGGCCACCATCAAAAGCAGCGGGCTGAATTTATATAATTAACGGCGCTTATTTGCTCCCTGCTAGCACTCTTGTAAATTCTCCATTCAATTTGTATATACCTTTGTCGAAATAAGATGCTACATTTATTCAATATATTTTATATTCCATGACTAAGCCTACTCTCATGGCTACCCGTTTCGTTTCCGACCGTTGTTACTTATTACCTATAAATATGTTATTTTTGCAATTATAGTGCGGTTGGAAGTATTCCAAGTCTCCGATCGACTATTTATATGTAAGTTTGATTGCTTGGTGTAATATTTTTTTTTTTTACTTGTTTTATCTTATTTCCTTTGAGTGTCCTAACTCTTACCCTAACCCCTTCGCCTAACCCTAACCCTAGCATGGTAGGTGTGTATGTGCCCTAGCATGTTAGGGTTAGGACACGTACCCTAACTCTAACCCCTTCCCCTCAACCTAACCCCTTCGCCTAACACCCTAACCCTAACCCCTTCGCTTAACCCTAACCCTAGCATGGTAGGTGTGTATGTGCCCTAGCATGTTAGGGTTACGACACGTACCCTAACTGTAACCCCTCCCCTTCACCCTAACACTTCGCCTAACCCCCTAACTCTAACCCTAACCCTAACCCTAACCCTAACCCCCCCCCCTTAACCTTAACCCCTAACCCTAACCCTAACCCTAACCCTAAGCCCCTTAACTCTAACCCCCAACCCTAACCCTAACCCTAACCCTAACCCTAACCCCCTAACCCTAACCCTAACCCTAACCCCCTTAACCCTAACCCCTAACCGTAACCCTAACCCTAACCCTAAGCCCCTTAACTCTAACCCCCAACCCTAACCCTAACCCTAACCCTAACCCTAACCCCCTAACCCTAACCCTAACCCTAACCCCCTTAACCCTAACCCCTAACCGTAACCCTAACCCTAACCCTAACCCCCCCCCCTTAACCTTAACCCCTAACCCTATCCCTAACTCTAACCCTAACCCCCTTAACCTTAACCCTAACCCTAACCCTAACCCCTAACCCTAACCCTAACCTTAACCCCCTTAACCCTAACCCCTAACCCTAACCCTAACCCTAACCCTAACCCCCTTAACCCTAACCCCTAACCCTAACCCTAACCCCCTAACCGTAATCCTAACCCTAATCCCTTAACCCTAACCCTAACCCTAACCCTAACCCCCTAACCCTAACCCTAACCCTAACCCTAACCCTAACCCCCTTAACTCTAACCCCCAACCCTAACCCTAACCCTAACCCTAACCCCCTAACCCTAACCCT